CTGTCCATCGACGGCGGCGGCTGGAGCCGACTCGCTGGCGACGCTGGCGCCGGTCGCCACGACGCTACCGGTCGCGAGGGCGTGGCATCACAGACACTTGCCATCGCGACTTCGGCTGCGTGTGCAGTTCCAGCCTCCGCAGTACGAATCCGACGTCTCGGAGATGGCGGTCGACAAGCAACGAGAGCGCGAGTGTCCCTGCGATCCGGTGGTACCGCCGGCCGACAGTCACTACCTCATTCAAGATCTGTACTGCCGACCTCTGCCTCAGCAACCAGCGAAACGGACGGACTTCCTCTTCCGATGGCAGCATCGTCACCGTCTGCGGCGACAGAGGCGGCAGCAGCATCAGACGGGCTCTGGCCTCATGTTGCATCAGCACTTGCCGTTGAGGACCCTTTGCATTTTCACAACTGCTGTCACTGTCGCCCCCACGATCCGGCTCAGAACGCACAATGTCAAACTTGTCTGAACAAAGGACAGGTCTACCGTATCCGACTGTGACAATTTGGTTGATCCTCAAAACGACAACTTCACATCTGGATTACATCGGTCAATGTCAACAGATACCTTCTCCTCCAAAACAGGCCTTCATCGAACTCCACTTTGCCCAAACCCCATCTTCAAGTAGCGCCAACTTACTTGTCCAATACCGATGCACAGTCTCAATGGCCCGTCTCCCGAGGCATCGGCAAAACATATGACCTGTAGGTGGAAAACAATTTGCCGGTTGGCAGCATTTAGCTGCCGATGCAGGGAACTGTCCCATAGTGATTCCGTCCGGTGATTATTCAGACCTTGGCAAATAATTCATCAATCTTCCCCGCCTCTTTCCCACATTCATCCGCCTCCTGACGGTGTGGAAAGCATGTTGCCCGAAATCTGTGGATCTACCAAATTATACAGACATACATACAGTCAGGAGCAAGAAGAGGCGGAGAGAATACCTTCAGAAGGACCAACAACAGCCGAATATGAATTTCACTCTGAGCTGGACGAAAAGTCTGGGAAAAGATGTAAAAATGCCTAGCTCACAGTTTCATACCTATTCTGGCGCATACAGTTTTTGCACGTATGTTCATACTGTAAAACAAGACGCCTCTTCGATAGTGCAAAAGGCTATTTTTTTATTATTATTTTCAGATAACTGACTAAAGCCACGCTCCTAAGCCTCAACTATTTGCGTCTGTATAGGCACCGATGGAATAGTCTTTCGTCCAAAATAACTGATTAATCATGCGAAGGATTTATATGGAAAATACTCTTGTACCTAGTCTATCGAAAAAAAA